TGTGCAAAGATGCATCAAAGATGCATTATTACATTAATCCAAATATTTTAATCTCATTGCTCTGATTTTTTCTTCTTTTTTTACCTACTGCCCTTCATTGTTCGGTAATAACTCAAAAAAAAAAGAAAGAAAAAGAAAACTTTAGAGAGTCAAGAGCCAGGCTAACACTTGGCCAATGACCATCCAAAGCCTTTTACTTCATACATCAGTACCCTTTGTAAAATGAGAATCATAACATCTAACCCAACTCCACAGATGGCCAGAATAAGAGCACTTAAAATGTTTTGGAAGAAAGGCATAAGAATATTGTGACTTTGACAAGATAAGAAAATAAATAGAGGAAGTAAGTAGAAGAAATTAACAACCTTGGACAATATTGGCTCTGGCTACACTCTTTTCTCTTTGCTATCTAATCTCAAAATATCCTGCAGTTCCATAGTGTCCGGGGTTTGTGTGCATGCTGCCAAATGCTATCATATCCTTTAGGATCCAGTATTACAGGGAAACATGCAGGGATGTACTTCACTACTGAGAAACAGACTCATTTCTACATCTGCCTCCCATCTCAGACTAGAAACTCTGATATTTCATGTGAACACAAAGCCTCATTTGTTTTGGTCCAAATATCCAGATATGTGGGTGGATGCATTCTACCAAGGAATGTCATTAAAGTTCCTATCTGCTGATTCCACAGCCTGAGAATCGGACCATTTGTCCCTTCCAACACAGTGTGAAGTACTTTTCCTACCTGAAAATAGATTGCTTCCACCCCACAAAAACATGTCGAAAACGAGCAACATAAAAGGCATTCTGCTGGGTACTGTGGATGACATAAAGATGAATAAGTCAGTTCTTGCTCTTGATAAGAACTTTATAGGCCCACATTCTTAGATGTAGATCTTAGATTACATTCTTCTCCAAAATAGGGAAGATGGTGATTATCTCTATCCTTCCTGTTGTAATGATGTAGTTTGGCTAAATGAATGAATAAATAGAAGAATGGGTATTTAATGAAGCCAGTTTTTGTTATATGGTGCCAACTGCAAGAAATAATTTCTTGTCTCTTCACAGTCTGATCCCTGTTGTTTGAGAACAATAAAGGAATTGAAGGGTGAGAGAAGGCCTATATGATAGGAACAGGTTAGAGAAAAAGGTGAACAAATAAAAATCGAGGAGGAAGAGATGGGGGAGGGAAGCACTGGCTGGAAGGAATCAGTGAAAACAAAATTTCTGCACAAGACTGAAAAATACAATGGATTCTAAACAATTAGGATAAAATAGACAATAGCAGCCTTTGTGGGGAGAAAAAAAAAGAATTTGGTAGAAATTGAATTAATCAAAGATTAGAAAGGGGGGGGGGAATCTTTCCTTTGGTTTCTAGCAAGTGCCAAGCCACTTTGGCCAAAGCATGGGAGGTTAAATGATGTTCCAAAGAGTTGCTAAGCACGTGACTTGGAACAGGAAGGATGAGACCATCCCCTGCCAGAGGTCATCTGTCCACCAGCTGCCTTCGTTACTCATGGCAGCACTCCTCTAACTCATATCTCGGGACCTTTTCACCTCTTTAATATTATCAAAGGCCCCCAAAAGCTTTCAGGTATGTGAACAACATCTAATAGCATTTCTATTACATTTTAAGACTGAGGCATTTTCCCTGGCTGGTGTAGCTCAGTGGATTGAGCGCGGGCTGCAAACTAAAGCATCGCAGGTTCGATTCCCAGTCAGGGCACATGCTTGGGTTGCAAGCCACGGCCCCCAGCAACTGCACATTGATGTTTCTCTCTCTCTCTCTCTCTCTCTCTCTCTTTCTCCCTCCCTCCCCTCTCTAAAAATAAATAAATAAAATCTTTTAAAAAACTGAGGCATTTTCAAAGTATTATTTCGAATCGAGGCAATGATGGGTACTTACTTTTGTGTTTCTGTATAGACTTGAAGAAAAGTTCAAGATTTCAAGATAATAGTTTATTTGAGAGTAATGAGGTTATAGCTCTCCTGACAGGTATGACCAAAGATAGCTAATAAACATTACAGAAAAATTAAGAAGAAAGATTTTATTAATCTTTATAAATTTTTCTAATTTATAAAAATATACATATTGATTCTTAACTCAACTACCATAGAAAATACTAGAAAACATGCCCTGGCTGGTGTGACTCAGCGGATTGAGTGCCAGCCTTCAAACCAAAGGGTCCCAGTTTGATTCCCAGTCAGGGCCCATGCCTGGGTTCCCCACCAGGTCCCAGGTAGTGGGCTCGGGAGAGGCAACCACACACTGAGGGTTCTTTCCCTCTTTCCTCCTCCCTTTCCCTCTCTAAAAATAAATAAATATATATATATATATATATTTTTTTTTAGAAAAAGAAAAGAAAATACTAGAAAACACAAGAATACACATGCAGGCATTCTATATTCGTTAGCAGAGTGATGACATCATTACATGCCAAATGGCCTCTGGAAATTTCTACTGTACATTAACGAGAGAATGGAAATGAGCTGGAAGGAGCAGCACAGTTAGACACAAGTTTGCGTGGGAGTGTTTTCCTTTTGTAAATAATTTGACGTTGGAATTGGCATGGCTGAACTAGAGTTTTGGCAATAGTGCAGACGACAAAGCCAAACCCCCAATTCTGGGAAGCTCTGAGGCTCCCAGCGCAGTGGGAATCTCGAGGCACTAGGAGAGGTGCCAAAGCATCGGTGCTCACCTACGCCACAAGAAGATACACCCAACCAGGTAATGAAGAAACAGCAACTCAGAAGTAACCCAAGATCATTCTGTGGGGGGGCAAGGACAGAAATCCAAACCTGGACATCTTGGGTACTGGACATCTTGGGTAGGACAGACTTTCTGCAGCTTGAAGGTGCCAACCACGGATTTCAGGCGTGTGAAGGACTGTTTCTCCTGGTTCTACTATCAATACCAACTCATTAGCTGCTGTGCCATCTTGGGGTCCTGGGAGCCTTCCACGTTCTACATCGCCTTACTAACCATTTTTGCTATGGTGGTGTATACTGCTTATGCTTTTTTATCCCAATCCACATCCGCCTGGCTTGGGAATTTTTCTCCAAAATGTGTGGCTATCACAGTACACATTCTAATTGATCGGAAACTTCCTAACCTAAAAGGCTCTCACTTCTCTATACACTCTTATATCTGGGCTGATATTTGAAATAGATGTCTCTTTAGGTTCTTTTATATATGTTACATTGTGCATCAGACCACAGATAATAAAATTACCTCATATACCATATTTTCTCAACTTAAATCTATGACTTTAGATATTTTTTTTAAATTGGGAAATTTCACATAAAATTTTTCTGGAAAGTAGGCCCATAAGAGACCTACCAGAATCATGTTTAAAATTCTCCCTTGGTACCTATTCTATTGTAAGTTATATCTTTTTAAAAATTTGCCCTGGCTGGCGCAGCTCAGTGGATTGAGTGCGGGCCTGAGAACTGAAAGGTTGCCAGTTAGATTCCCCAGCAGGGCACATGCCTGGATTGCAGGCTGGGTCCCCGGGTCGGGGCATGTGAGGGGTGGCTGATCGATGTATCTCTCACACATGAATGTTTTTCTCTCTCTCTCTTTCTCCCTCCCTTCCCCCCTCTCTAAAAATAAATAATAAACTCTTTTTAAAAAATGTGTTCATAAGCTACTGTCAAAAGTATCATATCCTTGTTTACAATATAAAGATGTGAATAATTATATGAGGCCACTAAAGTTAATTGTTTTTTTAACTAAACTACTGATACCTAAAATTCTTTGACTTCAGGTACATACAGAAGAATAGACTAGATTCAATCATCTCCTTTCAGACATGAATTATTTCAAATGCCTCCAAGTCTGGCTTTATAACAATTTAAAATCAACAATGTTGACTTTAGATAACCCATTAAGTATCATAATACAAAATGATTTTAGGTATAAGAAACAAAATATAATCGAAATAAATTCAGATGTTGTAACTCGCAATGTTGTCTTTCTTTGCATGATGCTGGAGGATAGGCCAGGGGAAAGAAAAGAAATTGCTTTTTTTCTGTACTTTCACTCAGTGGAGAAGGGAGCATGTATAGAGCTACAGGAAGAAAAGCTAATAAATAGGCTCAAAGTAATAGTCTACCAGCAGGAACTTACAGCTCCAGTTAAATGCTTTGATATAGTGACTACTTTGCAGAGCCAAAAAAAAAAAGTTTTATTAAATTTCCCTCAAAGTGTTTATCTTAAAAACAATTACAAGTGTTTAATTATACTGCTGTATCAAATATGAATGCCAAAGATCAGCATTGCAGTTTTTCTCTACTTCAATAAATATTAATGTTAGCAATACTGGAGGGTAAAAATAGAAATAGTTTTTTTGACAATTTGGATCTTTGTATTATTAAAAAAAAATTTTCTAAAAAGAGCTAGAAAGATGTTTGGCATGCCAAATTAATTTGCATATTGCTTTAAAAACAAACTCCTGATTTGAAGATAAACCATATCTGAACACGTATTTGTTGAATTTTGCAAAATAAAATTAGGTTTAATTTTATAAATACAAATTAAAATGAAAAGACAAATCATGTCTTATTATCATAATGGAAATAGTTTTGATCTCAGAGATCTGTTGAAAAGATCTTGGAGACATCCCAGATCTGGTGAGCCACAATTTGAAAAGTCATGTCACCGAATAATTTTAACATCATTTCCATCATATTATTAATAACGTGAATTTTCACTGATGCATATTTTGTTCTCGTTCTCTCGGATTGTCCTTTGAGGACTGTTGCCTCAAGGTAACCAAGGATCCCAAGCCTAGCAGAACCCAAAATGAAAAGCCCAGGGCACTCCAAGAGCCGTCGTCCGAGGGCCGAGAACTGAAAATGCCTCCCTGAATTCGCAGAAAAAGCCCGGTCTACAACCGAGATCAAATCAGCCACCCACGCGCCAAGGCGGGGCCAGATCTGGAGGCTGAAGGCCAGGCTCGCTCAGGGCTCAGGACAGAAGATTCCACTGCGAAAGCGAAGTGGCGCTCCCAGGAGGTGCCTGCCAGCGCCCGCAGCAGGTAGGCGGCCCCGGGAGGAGGAGCGCTGGCAGATGCTTCCCCAGGTAGCCGGTGCCTCCCTTTCCCACTACCGGCTCTGCGGCCTCGCGCGATCCAGGCTGGAAGTCAGGTCGCGCTCGTCCCACGGTCTGCCAGGGCGCCCCTCTGCGAACCCCAGGCGCTTCCTTGGCCCGAGCGCGGGAACTGCCCTCCAGCCCCGTCGAGAGCGAGGTCCGGAGCATCTCCGATATTTGGGCGGCGTCAAGGTGGAGGTTCTGGCGACCACAGGCACTACCCTACGACGAGGCTCCGGCCAGGGAGCTGCGGGAACATGTGCCGGGACCTGCAGGTGAGGACCGGGTGGCTTGGCCCCGGTGGGGAATGGGTTACTCTGGGGGGGCCACCTCCCCAAATCGGTCCGATTCGAACGCGAGGCAGAGGGTCGCCCGCGGCGATGGGTGCCAGCCAGCTCAGCCATCGGCAGAGTCCTGGGGCGCGGCATTTGTCCCCAGGCACGCTTGGGGCCGCTTTCAGGGCGTGGATCGACCCGGGTGACCGAAACCGCGAGCGGGGCACAGTAGTCCGGTGGCTTTGAGCACCACAGGTCCGTGACTCAGTTCCTACAGAAACTCAAAGTACTGAGCCAGGGTCTTTTTTGACGAGTTTCTCTGTTTTGTTTTTTGTTTTGTTTTAGTTTGTTTGATCGTTGCTGGACTATGTTTGCACTTATGATTCTACTTAGCCTACTGCCCATAGCTACCTTGGCGTTCCCTCATTGCACAAGAAGTCCAGAGGCGTCCACGCGCCTGGGGGAACAAGGTAAGCACCGCTTCCCTTTCCCAGGAAACCCTCCTGGAACCCCAAGCCGCGTATTACAGATCTCATACTACGAAGCATGATGTTTGAACTTACATGCCCTCGTCAGTAATAGAAGCATTAAAATATTTACTGTAATTTGTGGTTTATTGGTTAAGTGCAATTTACACAAATTTACATCTGAGTTACTTTTGACTAAATATACGTATTTAAGACTTGGTTTGTGGTTAACTTGAATGGCGAACCTATTTCAGCTTCTAAAATCAGTGAGTGCCTTTTTTTTAAAAGATGTTGCTATGTGGTAATTATAATTAGCATAATTACTTGTTCTTCCTGGAAAGAGGGAGAGAGAAGCCAAGATCTAGTCTGGACTTGTTGAGACCCTGGGCGAGTAACTTGAGGCCTTTCTGCTTGGATTTCTTCATCTGTAAAACAATGGGAGTGAGGAGTGAATGATCTCTGAGGCCCTTCTTCATTTGCAAATCTCTGGATACAGTTAAATGGTTGTAAAATTAAGTTTGGGGCTTGCTAACCTAGAATTTCACACCTTGTGGGGTCCAGGTCATAAACAAACTGATCCCTGCCCATCTTTTCAGAGCCTAACATAGAAAACAAAGAAAAGAAAAGGGCTTTGTCTCAGCATCCTTCTTGCTGCCCTGTCATTGGGCTTCCTACCCAGTTACTAGGACTTCGAACCTACTTCCCCGCTCATTCCTGTCGCTTCTCCCTTCCCATCAGATTCTACTCTCAGCTCCTTTTCAGCTGGGAAAGATCTGTTACACTAATACTCCTGGATGACTTATTAATGATTAATACAGCTTAGTGTGTTAAACCTTCTAGGAGTGTCTGTGTATTTTAAGATAAGGCAATTACCTTAATCCAAAGTAATCAAACCCTGATGGCAGAACTCTAGGCAATTGGACAAGCTAGCTGGTGAGAAAAGGACAGATTTCAGAAGGAGATCCTTCCTGGAACCTCTCAAGTTGTACCATATATGTAAGTCCGCTCATACATAAGGTTGATGGCCCATTCTCACTGGGACCAGACACTGATCCCCAGAATACTTGTGAATGTCTTCATCCACACCATACAGACAAAAAGACACTCAGGAACATCACAAACTCTGGAAGGAATTTAGAGATCATACTTGAGTGCAAAAGGCTGGGGATGACATCTGTGGGAAATGTAAAAGAGGAATTCTCTGTATTTAAAAATCTGACTTGTTTAGTTAGTAACCACTTTATTTATATACATACTCTGTGCCAGGTACAGGAAATGTAGAAATGAAAGACTGTTACCCTTGCCCTGATCAGGGAGGCAGGGTGTAAACAGAAAATCTCCGTAAACTCTGAAACAGAGGTAGGAACAGAGACCCAGAGAGCAGAGGAAACAGTGAGTGGTAGTAACTCTGTCTTAGGAGAGTTGTGTGGCACAGAAGCCAAGGCTCTCTGTCTGCAAACAAGACACAGTAAATGGGAATACGAAAAGTAACTAAGAAAATAAGAGACCTCAGCCCTGGCTGGGGTAGCTCAGTGGATTGAGTGCGGGCTGTGGAACAAAGGACCACTGGTTCGATTCCCAGTCAGGGCACATGGCTTGGTTGCAGGCCAGGTCCCCATTGAGGGCCACGTGAGAGGGAACCACACATTGATATTTCTCTCCCTCTTTCTTTCTCCCTCCCTTCCCCTCTGTCTAAAAATAAATAAAATCTTGAAAAAGAAAATAAGAGACCTCCAGCAAAATTCTGATAAAGGCCAGTGACTTAAAAGGGATTTATTTAGACAACATGGGGAAACAGGAGAGAGGAAGAGAATGAAATATTTGGGTTGGCGGGTCTGAAACAGTGGAATGCACAGAGAGCCTCTCAGAATGGTCGAAGACGGGAGAAACGGAGAAGAGTAGAGAATCTGGGGGGCGGAATCAAAAGTGCAAAGACCAGAGGGAAAATAGGGTCTTTAGTGGAAGTTCAGGATGCTCCATAGGCAAAAAGTTTGGTTCTTTCAGTGCTAAGCATTTTCAGGGTTACTTAGAATCCAAATAACAAAGGACAGTGTTTCTCCTGGGACTGGAAGGGAGGCAGGGAAAGGTTTGGTAAGGCACTGAAGGTCCAAGGTCAACCACTGACCAAACCGGAACTTTCACAGTCAAGGAAGTGGCAAAACAACAGCCTCTGGAAGGCATGTTTAATGGGGTGAGGTTGTTTACTGACATTAATATCACTTCAGGAACAATACAGATATTTATGCCTCTCTCTTTTGTATGCCTTTCAAGTTGAAAGCAGCTTTACTGAGTGCCATTTGGAGGATGGGGTATTTTTATAACTCAGATAACCTACTCGAACAGAAGGCCGACAGGAGTATGGCACTGCTTTTTAGCCAATAAAATGTAAAACTTTGGGCAAATTTCAGAAGTAGCAATACAGAAACAGATTGCTAGCTTTCCTTTCTAAATTAGATTTCACATAGTAAGTATAGCTAGGTAGGTGATAAATAACTGCATCACTGGTTTAGTACTTTAAACCTATACCAAGTCAAGTAATACCAGACTATACCTATGAATTGCTTCAACTGATAGAATTTTGGTCCAAGAATTCTTTCCACAATAGGAAAGTTGACTTCATTCATTCATGTAGTAAGCACTTTTTTTAACACCTCTTGTATGTGCAGGCACCAGCATCCCTGCTTTAATGAAACTTTCCTTCAAGGGAGGGGAACAGAATGGTAACAAATAAGTTAAATAATAGAACACTAGGCAGTCATAAGTGCTATGGAAGAAAAACAGAATATAATAGGGGGTGGGGGTACCAGAGATGGGTAGGTGGGGGTGGGGTTCAAGGGGACATTGAACAAAATCCTGAAGGAGGTCCTGGCTGGTGTGGCTCAGTGGATTGAGTGCGGGCTGTGAACCAAAGGGTCACCAGTTCGATTCCCAGTTGGGGCACATGCCTGGGTTGCCGGCCAGGTGCCCAGTACAGGGTGCAGGAGAGGCAACCACACATTGATATTTCTCTCCTTCTTTTCCCTTCTCTCTAAAATGAATAAATAAAATCTTTTTTAAAAAATCCCCTTTTGCACAGCTAAAGAAAACAGTATCAAAATAAAAAGAGAACCAACTGTATGGGAAAACATATTTGCCAATGATACCTCAGACAAGGGTTTAATCTCCAAAATATATAAAGAACTTACACGACTCCACTCTAAGAAGACAAGTAACCCAATTAAAAAATGGGCAAAGGACTTGAACAGACACTTCTCCAAGGAGGACATACAGAAAATCCAAAGACACATGAAACGATGTTCAATATCGCTAACTATCAGAGAGATGCAAATTAAAACCACAATGAGATACCACTTCACACCAGTCAGAATGGCCATCATAAACAAAGCAACAAACAACAAGTGTTGGAGAGGTTGCGGAGAAAAGGGGTCCCTAGTGCACTGTTGGTGGGACTGCAGACTGGTACAACCACTATGGAAAGCAGTATGGAACTTCCTCAGAAAACTAAAAATGAATCTGCCTTTTGACTCTGCAATTCCATTGCTGGGACTATATCCTAAGAACACTGAAACACCAATACAAAAGAACCTTTGCAACCTAGATGCCCATCAGTAAATGTATGGATCAAAAAACTATGGTACATTTACACAATGGAATTCTATGCAGCAGAAAGAAAGAAGGAGCTCCTACCCTTTGCAACAGCATGGATGGAGCTGGAAGCATTATGCTAAGCAAAACAAGCCAGGCAGTGAAAGACAAATACCACATGATCTCACCTTTAACAGGAACCTAAACAACAAAACAAAGAAACAAGCAAAATATAACCAAAGACACTGAAATAGGGGACAGACTGACAGTGACCAGAGGGGAGAGAAGAGGGAATTTCAGGGGGGGAATGGGTAGGGTTTACAGGAACAAATTTGGAGGACACATGGACAAAAACTAGGGGTGGGAGGTAATGGGGGGGAAGAGGAGAGGGTTGGGTGGGTGGGCTGGTATGGAAGTAAGTGAGAGAAAACTGTACTTGAACAATGATTAAAATAAAATTTAAAAAAAAAATCCTGAAGGAGGTAAGTGAACAAACTGAAAGAAGAAAGTTTCATTCAGAGGTAACGGCAAGTATAAAGTCAGGAGAGAACCAGGCATGTTGGAAGACAGTGTGTTTTAACAGTTTTTAATTAAGCAATTAAATTCTGTTTTTAATTAACAATTGTAGAGCGTGGGTAACAAGGAGACCCCTCCGAGGGCCATTGCAAGAATCCCAATGAGAGATGACAGAGACTTGGGAAAATGTTCATTCTTTTGCCATTTGGTGAAAACATAAAATCCTCAGGAAGACCAGGGAGCCCTGACCAGGGTGGCTCCGTTGGTTGGGTAGCTCGCAAAGCGAAATGTCACTGGATGGATTCCTGGTCAGGTCACATGCTGGGGTTGCGGTTCTGCCCCTAGTCGGGCATATAAGATAGGCAACCTATCCATGTCTCTCTCCATTTCTTTCTCCCTCCCTTCCCCTCTCTCTAAAAATAAATAAATATTTTTAAAGGCAGATAAGGAAGAAGAAAGAACAGAAATTTCATCACACAGGTCTGCCTTTGGGAATATTTCTTAAAACAACTATCAACATTTTAGCTTTCCCTTGGCTCAGATAGTCTGTGTATGTTATTTGTAACATTAAAAAGAATACGTTAGACTAGTACTGGCCAATAAAAATATGTGAAACAGAAATAATTTATAATTTTCCAATAGCCACATTAAAAAATGGAAAAAGAAATAGGTGAAATTAAATTTAGTAATGTTTTTAATTTAACCTACTATATTCAAAATATCATCTCCAAATATAAGCAGTATAAAACACTAAGATATTTCACAGTCTTTTTCAACTGGTTTTGAAATCCTGCGCATATTTTACAATCCCAGCACATCTCAATTCAGACATAGCCACATTTTAAGTGCTTAGTAACCTCTGTGGCTACTGAGGCTCACGGCTACTGTATCAGACAAAACAGCTAATATTCAGACCTTTTTGGAAAGGTGATCAATTGAAAGGTGAGGAAGATGTGATTGTCTTCAAGGCGCTAAGAGTAAATGGCCTTCCTGGGGTCACTCGCAGATCAGTTTCTCATCTTCCAGCCCATGCCTTCCGTCTTGTTTTTCAGTTGCCCACTTTAATGCACTCTCTCTTCACTCAGTTAGCAGTGAGCAACACCAACACTTTTCAACTCTCAGTGAGTTTCTGAATTCCATTCTCAGTACTGTGTCTGTATGTTGCAAGATCACTTAAGCTTTGCTTATATGATACCAGAAGAAGTTTCAAGTTTGTGGGCTTTGGAATTGCTGCTATGGTGGGATATCCTTGTTTTGTGTTAACCTCTGTGTAACTCTATCATGTTCACCATTTACTTTCCCAGAAAATATAGAGGGGGTCTTGCAAAACAGGGTAGATACATATTTGAGGGACAGGTGGGAGGAGCTACTCCTTTGGGAGGGGTCTTCATATCTTTTAATTAATTTTATAATTAATGTATAATTTTATTAACTTAGAAAATTAAAATTTTATAAGTTTTAGTATAAACTTGATATATTGACCAATGTCAGTCAAAAATTTCATAATTTTAAAAAATGTATTAATCTATCATTTTAAAACATAAATGGATCTTAGTGATTATTTAGTGCATGTCCTAATTTTATAAGTGAGGAAATGAAAACCCAGAGATATGAGTGACTTATCCCAGGATACACAGCTGATAGTTTGAGCCAAGTTAAAAACAAGAATTTTCTGTCTTCTAACACTTGTTCCAGTACTGTCCATTGCACCAGACTAATTTCTCTCCATCCAGAATTAAGAAAGCCAACCCTCTAGGAATAGAACAGTCTGACCTGTCATTTACTGAAAATATAATTTTCTGGAGGGAAAAATAATGTTTAAATAATTTTTACTTATGCTCATAATTTTGGACATAATCAAGTCCAGAATTTTCTGGAGTTATGCTAATATTTGTATTTCCTATTTAGCAGAAATTATTTGTACTGATATGTCTTTTTATCAGATTTGAAAACCATACAAGAAAGTTTGGTGTAATTTAACCACGTCAAGGGAACTATTTACTCTTGCTACCATTTAAACAGGAATTGTCTTCCTTATTCTTATTAGTGTTTAAAATGTTTCTATTCTTTATTAGTCTTTACATCAAAAGAAGAAGCAAACTCTTTCATACATAGACACCTGCTATATAATAGATTTGATTTGGAACTCTTCACTTCCGGCGACCTAGAAAGAGAGTGCTATGAAGAACTTTGTAATTTTGAGGAAGCCAAAGAGATTTTTGTGGATGAAGATAAAACGGTAATTTGGTTGATGATGTTAATTGTCTGAAAATTTATTAAATAGTTCTTAAGAAAATGGCACTTTCATTTATTAGAGCTTTTATGCTTTAAATGAAATCAGTATTCTATACGTGTTATCTTTTTCTACTTCCTTAAAATGCTGATTAGCTTTAGATTTAAACTTGGCTTTATACTTAATTAACTAGGCTTATAATAATTAGCAGATTATCATTTGTGCTGTAATTTTGTGTTTAATGTTTATTATATTAAAAAAAATTATGAAGCAGAGTTAATTAAACTTCAGGATATAATTTGAGTTAGTTCTCTGACACAGACTTTAATCATTAAAACTCAGAGCAATTTTCCCTGGCTGGCGTAGCTCAGTGGATTGAGCACGGGCTGGGAACCAAAGTGTCCCAGGTTCGATTCCCAGCCAGGGTACATTCCTGGGTTGCAGGCCATAACCCCCAGCAACCGCACATCGATGTTTCTCTCTCTCTCTCTCTCTCTCTCTCTCTAAAAATAAATAAATAAAATAAAAAAAAAAACCTCAGAGCAATTTTTTCTGTCAGTGACCTATCCTGTTTCATTACTGTACTTGTATTTCAAGTATTGACAATCTACTGTGTGCCAAGTTCTCTGCTGCAGACTGGAAATACAAAATATGTAGTCCCTGCACTCAGAAGTGTATTGTTTGGTATGTCTGTAACTTAAGGAAGAAACTTTTAGAAATTCTCCCTTAAAATATAATTAAATGCTGTCTGTTAATCTTGAAAAGGACAAAACAGAGATAGCACTGTCCTTGTTATAATCTAGCATATTCTTGAAGAATGTTAAGTGACCCAAATTCTTTACTTTGGTAGATTAAATAACCCCAGCTCCTTTTTCCCTTCCTCAAAAGTTCCATTTTATTTTACTCTTTGGTCAATAAGAACTCTCTAGGTAGCCTTTAAATGCAGGTATTCACAGAACTTAGTTCTTATTCTTTTTTTTTCCCCTAAAAGGTGCCCAGGCTCCATGCTAGTATCTGCCACCTGTATTAGAGAAGGAAAACAAAGTCTAAAATTTTGTAATAGTGCCTGTTGAGATTCATTCTGTTTTTCACAAACCCATTTTATAATTGTATCATGGCTCCTTAAAATCCGCTTCCATTCTCAAGTAATACTGAACAGCCAAATCCATAAATGCCTTTCAATAAAAGCTAGCAAACTGAGGGCCCACCTAGCATAGAAAAATTCAGACTCCTTTTCAAAAATGAGTGTCCTGCCTCAGCTTCCATCTTTGGTACTTTCACAGACTCTCCAATGCAGTAGTTCCCCGAGGCCTGAGTGGGAGCTCTGGGCAGGGGAGGGGAGAATAGCAGGGCACAGTGGTAGAGAGGATACACTGGAATTGGTCTTCCAACCCCGACCGATTCCAGAGTTGGAAGAAATAGTGGTGCATGGTAGTGCTTTAATTAGAGTGAGTCATACCCTTTAACTTGAATAAGTGGTAGCCTACCTATGGCACATGCAAAAATTTACCACCTCTAGTTTAGGTCATTGGGAGCAAATGAAATAATAAATTAAATAAACTTGAAAAATTTACTTTTCTCTTAGATGGCATTTTGGCAGGAATATTTGATTAAACAACCAACTGTAAAATCAGGTAAGATGAGAATTGATTAAATAATGTTTTTCCCACACCCTCTCTTTTATAATACATTTCGGTTTCATTGTTTGAGTTTGTTTGTTGCTCAACATACTTGTAAATCCAAGGAAGATTGCTCAATTACACCCTGGGCTATCTAAGATGGAGAAGGTCACATTCATGTATTTGTACACTGAAAATCAAGTTTGGCGAGATACTGAAGGAATGCAATAATAGGCTTAAAAATGCTTTAAACAGCTCAGCTAAGTCAAGACTTGAGCAGAATAAAAGTAGTGCTCTGTTGGTTTCAAGTAGTAAGCTACTTTAATTTTTTATCTTTGCTTACCATTACAAGTTAATGGAATATGTATGCTACTGGGTAAGTTAAGATTGTTAGCTAGAATGAAGTAACTTCTAGAGAAGCTTGATCCTGTCTTTTACCTATATTGATCACCTCTAGCTGACTTTTAGGTGAGTTTTTTGCTATTCTTTCATTCCATTTAGGTAGGGTCCCAGCTTACAGGGAGAGGATTTCATATATCCACTAGAGTAGCTCAATACATTTGTCTTAGTAGTTAATATCAAAGTGTTACCTCGTGGAACAAAGTTTGTGTTTATTCTACTTAGTCTTTTTTAAAAGTATATTTTATTGATTATGCTATTACAGTTTTCCCAACTTTTCCCCCTTTATCCCCTTCCACACTGCACCTCCCAACCCACCAGCATCCCCCAACTTAGTTCATGTCCACGGGTTGTACATATAAGTTCTAGGAGTTCTCTGTTTTCCATACCATTTTTTATCTCTCCTGTCTATTTTATGCCTACCAATTATGCTTCTTCTTCTCTATACCTTTCCCCCCCATTCCTCCCCTTCCCCTCCACACTGAAAACCTTCCATGTGATGTCCATTTCTCTGATTCTGTTCCTGTTCTAGTTGTTTGCTGAGTTTTTGTTTTCATTGTTTTTCTTTTTTATAGGTTCATTTGTTGATACTTGTGAGTTTGTTGTCATTTTACTGTTCATAGTTTTTGGTCTTCTTCAATTTCTTAGATAATTCCCTTTAACATTTCATATAATAAGGGCTTGGTGATGATGAACTCTTTTACCTTAACCTTATCTGGGAAGCACTTGATCTGCCCTTCCATTCTAAATGATAGCTTTGCTGGAATGAGTCATTTTGGGTGTAGGTCCTTACCTTTCAAGACTTCAAATACTTCTTTTATTTTTTTTTAATCATTGTTCAAGTACAGTTTTCTGTGCTTTACTCCCATCCCAGCTCACCCACCCATCCCTCCCCACCTCCCTCCCATTTCCGCCCCCCTAATTTTTGTCCATGTGTCTTTTATATTTGTTCCTGCAAACCCTTCCCATTCTCCCCTGAAATTCCCTCTCCTCTCCCCTCTGGTCACTGTCAGCCTGTTCTCTATTTCAGTGTCTTTGGCTATATTTTGCTTGTTTGTTTGTTTTGTTGTTTAGGTTCCTGTTAAAGGTGATATCATGTGGTATTTGTCTTTCACTGCCTGGCTTGTTTCGCTTAGCATAATGCTTTCCAGCTCCATCCGTGCTGTTGCAAAGGGTAGGAGCTCCTTCTTTCTTTCTGCTGCATAGAATTCCATTGTGTAAATGTACCATAGTTTTTTGATCCATTCATTTACTGATGGGCACCTAGGTTGCTTCCAGCACTTAGCTATTGTAAATTGTGCTGCTATGAACATTGGGGTGCATAGGTTCTTTTGGATTGGTGTTTCAGGGTCCTTAGGATATAATCCCAGCAGTGGAATTGCTGGGTCAAAAGGCAGATCCATTTTTAGTTTTCTGAGGAAGTTCTCAGTTTAGTTTTCTGTTTTCCATAGTGGTTGTACCAGTCATGACTTCAAATACTTCTTTCCAGCCCCTTCTTGCCTGCAAGATTTCTTTGAGAAATAAGCTGATAGTGGAATGGGCACTCCTTTGTAGGTAACTGTCTCCATTTCTCTTGCTGCTTTTGAGATTCCCTCCTTATCTTTAATTTGGGTAATGTAATGATGATGTGCCTCAGTGTGTGCTTCCTTGGGTCTAACATCTCTGGGACTCTCTGAGCTTCCTGGACTTCCTGGAAGTCTATTCCCTTCATGAGTTTGGGGAAGCCCTCCTTCATTATGTTTTCAAATAAGTTTTCAATTTCTTGCTCTTCCTCTTCTCCTTCTGGCACCCCTGTGATTTGAATGTTGGAACATTTAAAGTTGTCCCAGAGGTTCCTAAGCCTCTTCTTATTTTTTTGAATTCTTGTTTCTTTGTTCTGGTTGAATATTTATTCCTTCTGGTCCAAACCATTGATTTGAGTCCCGGTTTCCTCCCCTTCACTGTTGGCTCCCTGTACATTTTCCTTTATTTCACTTTTCACAGCCTTCACTTTTTCCTCTATTTTGCAACCTTACTCAACCATTTCTGTGAGCATTTTGATTACCAGGGCTTTAAATTTTCCATCGGATAAGTTGGCTATCTCCTCATCGCTTAGCTCTCTTAATGAAGTTTTGCTCTGTTCTTTCATTTGGGCCCTATTTCTTTGTCTCGGGGCACCTATTAAGGTATAAGGGGGTGGGGCCTTAGGTATTCACCAGTGCAGGGCAACCCTCCTTGCTGCTCTGCAGTGCTGCCTATGGGGGAGGGGCCAGAGAGGGAACTGTGCGACTCGCCTACTGGGCTCTAGCCCCACTTTCCCACCAACCCTCATGTGAGACTGGGGAGATTTTCCTGCCGTGGCAACCCCCGCTATAGTCCACAGTCAGAGCTGACTGTGGACTACAGTTTCTGAGTTTCAGTTTCCTGTTCAGTCATCCCCACCCACACAGTTGCCTCCTCACTGAAGCCAGCCCCACCCACAAGATCAGCCACCTTGCCCTCACTGTCCACAGACTTGCCCCAGGTTCTGGCCATCTGCCCATCTTACCAGTCTGGTTGTTCCAGTTGACTGTTTCTTTAATTCCTTGGTTGTTGGAGTTCCATGATGTTTGATTTTCTGGCACTTCTGGTTGTTTATTGATTTCAAATTGGTTGTTATCCTCCTTTTGGTTGTGTGAGGAAGCGAACGGTTTCTACCAATGCCTCCATCTTGGCAGGAGCTCTCTACTTAGTCTTGAATAGTCTCCATTTAATATGACCTATTTAAAAAAAGTGAAACCATACCTAGGGGTTTTAGGAAGTGTCCTTTAAAAATTCTTTAGATCATATGTCTAGCATAAAGACTTTTTAATTAATCAATAATAAGCCCAGCTGACATGGCTCGGTTGGTTGGAGCTTTATCCTGTGCACCAAGGGGTTGCTGGTGCTATTCTGGTCAGGGCACATGCCTGGGTTATGGGTTTGGTCCCTGGTTGGGGCGTGCGCTGGAAGCAGCTGATCAGTGTTTCTCTGTCTGTCTGTCTCTGGAATAAATAAATACACTTAAAAAATGAAATAAAGCCCTGGCTGGTGTGGCTCAGTGGATTGAGTGCCAGCCTGCCAAACAAAGGGTTGCAGGTTGAATTCCCAGTCAGGGCACATGCCTGGGTTGCAAACCAGATCCCCAGTAGGGGGCGCATGAGAGGCAATCACACATTCATGTTTCTCTCCTCTTCCTCCCTTCCCTTCTCTCTAAAAATAAACAAATAAAATCTTTAAAATAAATAAATAAAAAAGAAAAGAAAAGAAGCCCTCATCTGTATGGCTGAGTTGGTTGGCACATTGTCCCACAGCTGAAAGGTTGCTGGTTCAGTTTGCAGTCAGGGCACATGCCTAAGTTGCAGGTTCGATCCCCAGTCCACTGTGTGCAACCCTCAGTCTGCACATGTAAGATTCTGGGTCTAGCTGGATCTCTGGTCTGGGTGTGTATGGAAACAGCTAGTCGATGCTTCTATCTCACATCAATGTGTCTCTCTCCCTTCCACTCCCCCTTCCTCTCTCTGTCTTTAAAATAAAGAAGGAGAAAAAAAATAAATGAAAAAAAATTTCCTTGGGTGAGGATAATAAATAAATAAATAAATAAATAAATAAAATCAATATTAATTATTCAATGCTTAATACTGTGTTTAAACTCAGGGTTAAATTTATTGAAATCACAGGTGGTGCTTTTCAGTTGTTATATTTATGTTATTTTAATGATTTTTCTTAAGGTGGTAACAGTGAGAAAATTGATGTCATGGGCCTTCTTACTGGACTAATTGCTGCTGGAGTATTTTTGGTTATTTTTGGAATACTTGGCTACTATGTTTTGATCAATAAGTGTAGCAGACAACGGCATCCAGGGTAAGTACCAAGTGAAAATATTTAATTCACTATTATACATTCTCTACTGTTATTTTTTAAATGGATTAAAAAATGGCCGCCTGTTTTTAAATAAACTTTTTACTTTGGAATAATTTTAGGTACAACCTTTAGAAAGGCTGCAAAGGGGTCTCATATATCTTTTACCAGCTTCCCTCATTGTTAACATCTTATGCTATCATAGTACACTTGAAAAACTAACAAACCGACATTGGTACCTTACTATAAACTAAACTCCAGACCTTATTTAGATTTCCCCAATTTTTCCATTATTGCCCTCTTTCTGCTCTAGAATCCAATCAAGATAGTACTTTGCATTTAGTTGCTATGTGTCTCCAGTTTTCTCTATTATACAGCAGTTGTTTTGTTGCCTAATTTAACGCAAATGAAAAACTGTGAGAAAAAGGGAGAGAGAGAAACATCGATTTGTTGTTCCACTTCCTTATGCATTTATTGGTTGTCTCTTATATGTGCCCTGACCAGAGATCAACCCCCCTCACCTTGTTGTACCGGGGCGACACTCCAACCAACTGAACACTTGGCCAGGGTCTCCATATTTCTTTCTTGGGTAGGAGGCAGATACCAGTGTCCCCACATTATTTCCAGAGGGGAAAAGTCCCATAGTTTACTGAGTCACAGCATAATCAGATCTAGCCATGTGGCTATCCAAATAGAAACAGTATTAAGTAGCTTTTAAATTCATTCATTTTTACTGATACTTCAAATTAAATAAGAATTAATAAAATAAAGTAATTATGCCTGGCTGATATGGTTCAATGGATTGAATGCCAGCTTGCAACCCAAAGGGTCGCAGGTTTGATTCTGAGTCTAGGGCACATGCCTGGGTTGTGGGCCAGAGTCCCAGTTGGGGGCATATGAGAGGCAACCACATATAGATGTTTCTCTCCCTGTCTTTCTCCCTTTCTTCCCCTCTCTCTAAAAATAAATAAATAAAATCTTTTAAAAATAATTTTTGGGCTTAGATCAATGGAGTAGGGAAAAGACAATCTGAAAAAGGAAACCATTCCAGTGGAAACAGAGATGGGACAGTATTTATTACACTTACTGAGGAGTGTTAAAGAGGCTACCTTGGCCAGGGCAGAGAGCTATAAAAAATAAGATGAGGCCAGAAAAGGAGGCACAGTATTTGGAACTCAAGTCAGTGGAAAGAAGGCTGCTGGTTAGACTTTTGCAGAGAAGAGTGATGTGATGGAAGTGCGTTTTAGGAGGGATTTGCCCACCAGGCAGTGGGGCAGGGGAGGAAGACCAGAGAAAGGGACAGACATCAGCTGATGTGATTATCTGTGGCTTCAGTTTCCTGGGTTGGTGTTGTGCTGCCTTTCAACACAGCCTGGGTTTGGTTTCAAACCATATTTCGAGAAAATTTTCATCCAGGAGTGGGAGAAAAGGGGAAGTAGCATAAGTAGCATGTTTTTGAGTTCTTATTATAGAGGTAGCTATTATTGTCCCCAGTTTACAGAGAAGGAAACTGAGTTAGGTAACTTGCCTTTAGCCACATAGCTAAGAAATGACAGGATCTGGTTTCACATCCATGTCTGACTTCAAAGCTCTTGATCCTTCCACTATATCAAGACTCTTTCTGCTGTTAGAAACTCAGAAAACTGTTATATTAATAAATTGAGTTCAACTTTTATAAAAACAATCAGTTGAATATTTAAATATTGCCATCTTAACCTACCAGTGCTGCCTTTTCTAGACCTAACTGCTGTCTCTCTGTTTAGCTCTTCAAGGGGCAGGCAGACTCCCTCCATCATTTTCAGAAGACCTGAGGAGGCTGCCTTGTCTCCATCACCACCTGCAGTGGAGGACACAGGATTACCTTCTTATGAGCAGGCAATGGCACTGACCAGAAAACACAGCATTTCACCACCGCCACCATATCCTGGACCAGCAAAAGGCTTTAGGGTATTTAAAAAGTCTATGTCGCTCCCATCTCACTAAACCCACCTTGCCATCCTGGCGGTCCAGGAGATTCATGTTATTTGAATGGTTCATTTTCTCTGAACCATACAGACATGTCCGTTCAGCCCCTTATGACAAACTGCAAGAAGTAAAGGAGGAATAAGCACGAGCACTACACCACAGAAGTCCTGTCAATAATCTTGGACCTGAACTTGTCCATGATCAGCTTGATAAGAAAATTGAACTCCATATCCTTGTAGTTAGGAGCACTTTTTTTGTTTATTTTCATTGTTCCCCCCAAATCTGTACTATGAATGTCACAGCTATAACTGGTGAAATAGCTGTATCCTTTGTGCAGATAAAAGGTTGTAGATTTTTTTGTGTTGAATATTAAAAAAGTAAGAATTCCTAATTATTAGATTATCCCAAGTCATAACATTGGGCCCACGCTTTATTAGAATTCCTGGTTTGTGGCAAATACTTCACAGAATTTGACATTTCACTATAAACTTGTGGTCTTAATATAATAACTTTGTTTTATATTTTAAATTATTGCATAGCATTCACTGTATTTTGCAGGTTTTAAACAACTCTGTTTAAGAGTTGTTAACTCTTGCTATCAGTCATGTTTCTTTATGAGGAGTGGGATCAGTAATTTTCTTTAAAAAAAACACTGGCTAGGGAGTTAGATTTTCAGAAGTTGCAATGGCAAGGATTTGCAAGAGTGGTTATACTAACTAATAAATAGGCCTCAAATCTAAGAGTGAGTAGGACTTGATAAAGTTATCCATATTACTGATGAGTAGACACACCTATTTCATTATTAAATTAGCTATATGTAACTATATCCACATATAATTATTTATCTTGAAAACATATGGAATTTTCTATATAATAGCTTGAGAACCTAGAAAAAATAATCTATTTTTCTGCTTTTAAAATAATATTGATTAAAGTTATGAGCAATCCCTTATATCTCTTAATGTCTGGACACAAAAAAAACACAGATAAACATTTTACCTTATTATTTTGTCTCTTCTAATCATAGATGTGACTAGTCTCTCTTTATGAATGTAGCAGAGAATAAGCTATAAATCTCTGCAGTGAGTGTGTGTGTACAAATTTATGTGGGTGGGTGTGTATGTATGTGTGAATTCATTTCCTCTGTGCAGGAGCTGAAGAAAGACAACTATTAAATTTAATAATGAGATCCAGAATCAAGAAAGAGAGAAAGAGGAAGGGAGGGAGGGAGGGAGGGAGAGAGAGAGAGAGAGAGAGAGAGAGAGAGAGAGAGAGAGGTAGATACTTCTGAGAAATAGAATAGAAAATTCTGTTCTTTGTTTTTACCAGGCATTGCATTTTTCTATTTTTAAGATCATTTGTAAGATTGTATTTTATTTTATAATTTTTACAGAAGTGAGACTAAAACCCACATACATTTGATAATTCCTTCCAAATTAAATGTTTAGAAAGTATAAGTCATGGTACTATATGTATCCAACTCTCCTTTAAGTCAGAGTGATCTTAGGGCAGATAAAAGCAGTATCCTAACTATTACATGCTGCCAATGACATTATCCTTTTAGATTCTTGTGTTTCTTTGTTTGCTTGTTGCAAGAAATCATCTAGAAGACACTTACATTACCTATAAAATTTTACTATTAGTCATACCTTGGCTTTATAAGCACTTTCTCATGTAACGTTGCACCTTGCATTTTGCACTTGCTTAAATCCTCTCTAAAAGGTCAGAAGCAAACTTACTTTGCTCACATTCTAACATCAGACTAAGTTATAGAAGGATAACTTGCCCAAACTCTAACATGCTGTTGAGAGCTAGGTTTAGAAGTGAGCAAGCACACTTTTCTAGGCCCATCTTGTACCTATAGATTAGACCATCTCAAATTATGAAATCCAGAAATATTGTTACTTAATTCTAAATGTATGAAAAATTTATAAGCATTGGTCATATATAAATGTATATAGGTATGTATATTATATATATATATGTATTGTCACACATATTTCTTAGGATGACTAGAAATATAAGATATGATATATCTTATTGAATCGTAATTTGAAATATTCTATGAACTTGTTTATTCCCATTGATTCACAAGAGCCTAACTGCAAAGCTCGCTTCAGCACCTGTGACAACCTCTTTCCCCCAGGAGCAGCCTAGATATGTCGCATGCCATCATTTAGTTGCTCTAACTTAAATGAATGAACCTAGAATTCATCACCTAGAATGCACCTAGAATGAACCTAGAATGCATCATTAAGATTGTGAAACAACTGATATTTGTAGAGCATTCAATGTTAACCCCCTAATACTTTAAATATAAAAAAGAAAATGTGATAGCATCATAATCAACAAATGCTTATAAATGATTGAAAGGAAAATATCTCCATGTAAAATTATTGACATGTATATCTGTCTCATCCACCCTTTTCTATTCCTGTTATATTTTTGGTGGTGGATTTTGTTTTTTGTTTGGTCTGTTCTGTTTGTGCTTCTTCCCCAGGCATCTGATTAGTGGTAACCATTAAATCTATTTTGACAAAAAGTTCTGTGTTTAATTAGATGAGTTTCCCCCTCTATTACAGGCAGTGAATGAAACAGGTATAAAAAGAAAATTGGACTAGAAAAAGAAATACACATTTATAAGGTTATACCTTCAGTAAGATAGATAGTTCTACATAGAATATTCTCTTTTCAAAATGAAAAAAAATTAAAGAGAGCACAAAATCTGACTGTGTGAAAGCTTTACACCTTTTAATAATATTCCCTCTACATAAAAACAGAGTGGGTAAAAACTCTCAGAACAATTAAAAATTAGAACAAAAGTGTCCTCTATGTCTTTGGGGACCTGTAAAATTCTAATAGTTTTTTTTCTATTTATCAGATAATTCATGTGTGTATGTATTTCTCCTATAGGTACAAGAGAGTTTTTAATGAGAAAAGGTTTGTTAGCATTGTTCAAAAGATCAATTGTTTTTGTTCTAACTGAATGTGAACTAAATTTTATTAGTTATTAGTTTGATTTGAAATGTTGCCTAAGGTGTTATACTATTAAAAGGGTGTCTAGAATTTCTGTATTTTTTTTCTGAATCTTTCTGTAGATCACCAATACGGCATTTTGGAACATGTATGACATATTGATGCCTTTAGTTTTCTATATTGTGTGTTTCCTCCAACTTCTTTTGTTGTTTAAAAATGTTTTCCTTACAGGTTAAGAGCTTAAGGCAGTCCAGTACAAACATATCAGTATTTTCATACTCTGAAAAAAAACATTTTTTAAAATGCATATATTTCCTACAGCCTTGATGATGTTTTGGTTTTAATGGATTTCCTATTACAGACACTTTTTATACATGTGAATAAACTTTATACTAAGTAAATATTTGTTGCTCATTTCAATTAAACATACTTTTTCCTCACATAGTGCCATATAGGTATATAAATTACATATGAAAAACACAGTGCATGTTTTCAAAACATTTACAGCAGGGTATTTCTCTGTGTATCTTTCACCCAGTGGGGCTAGCGTTCTATTAAACCATCTGGTTGCAGTTGTGAGAGTGTTATTCTCTTTAACACAGTTTTACTATTTAATTTATTGTTTGAGGAAAGTTTATATTATTCCTTAAAACTGAATTTAATTATGTGACCACTGTCTATGCATAATTTAAAAATCAGAAGATAATAGAGTAATGGCACACTAAATTATAGGAATCGCTTAAGAGAAACACATTAAGTAATATTAAGTGTCATACATGTAGATCAACCCTGATTATTATTATTTTTAAAAATTATTTTATTTGTTAAACACACACATACACACACATTTTCACTGTAAGGATCCAGGTAGCTTTTTTTTTTTAAGATTTTATTTATTTATTTTTAGAGAGGGAAGGGAGGGAGAAAGAGAGAGAGAGAAACATCAGTGTGCGCTTGCTGGGGGTCATGGCCTGCAACCCAGGCATGTACCCTGACTGGGAATCGAACCTGTGACACTTTGGTTCACAGCCCATGCTCCATCCACTGAGCTACGCCAGCCAGGGCTGATTACTATTAAATATTACTTTGTGTTAACACATTTAGATTACCTTAAATGTTTTAGATCCAATTGAGTTATGCATGTAAAATTGCTTTAATCAAGGGAGAGAGAAAATAAGCTAGTGACTGGGAGAAAATATTTGCAAAAGGCATCTAATAAAGGACTGTTACCCAAATTATTCAAAGAACTCTTAAAACTCAACAATAAGTTTTAACCCAATATTAAAAATGGGCAAAAGACCTGAACAGACACTTCACTGAAGAAGATGTACAGATGGTAAGTAAGCATATGAAAAAATATTCAAAATCATGTCATTAGAGAATTGCAAATCAAAACAACAGACACCTGTTGTTAGACACCTATTCAAATTGCCAAAATCTGAAACACTGACAATATTAAATGTTGATAAGAACATACAGCAATAGAAGCTCTCATTTATTACTGTTTGAAATGCAAAAAGGTACTGTCACTTTGGAAGGCAATTTGGCAATTTCCTTTTTTTTTTTAAGATTTTATTTATTTATTTTTAGAGTGGAAAGGGAGGGAGATAGAGAGAGAGAGAAACATCAATGTGCGGTTGCTGGGGGTTATAGCCTGCAACCCAGGCACGTACCCTGGCTGGGAACCGAACCTGCGACACTTTGGTTCGCAGCCCACGTTCAATCCACTGAGCTACGCCAGCCAGGGCTGGCAATTTCTTACAACACTAAATATACTCTTCCCTCCCTGACCAGCGTGACTTGGTTGGGCGTTCCCACAAAGCAAAAGGTTGCCAGTTTGATTCCTGGTCAGGGCACATGCCTGGGTTTCAGGTTCAGTCCCCAGTTGGGGCACATACAGGAGGCAACTGATCAATGTTTCTCACCCTCTCTCCCTCCCTTCCCTTCTCTCTAAAAATAAATAAATAAAATCTTTTAAAAAACCTAAATATACTCCTCCCATTTATCCAACAATCATCTTCTTGGGTATTTAGCCAAGTGAGTTGAAAACTTTACATCCACACAAAAACCTGCACATGGATGTTCATAGCAGCTTCATTTCTAATCACCAGAACTTGGAAGCAACCAAGATATCCTTCAATTAGCAAATTGAAAAAAGTGGTACATTCAGATAATGTAATGTTATTCAATACTAAAAAGAAATGAGTTCTTACCCTGGCTGGTGTGGCTCAGGGAATTGAGTGCTGGCCTGTGAACCAAGGGTTACTGGTTTGGTGCCCAGTGGGCACATGCCTGGGTTGCAGGCCAGGTCCCCCATTTGGGGGCATGCAAGAAGCAACCACACGTTGATGTTTCTCTCTGTCTCTCTCCCTCCCACTCTCTAAAAATAAATAAATAAAATCTTAAAAAAAGAGAAGAAAAAGAAATGAGCTCTCAAGTCATGAAAAGACATGATGGAAAAAAATGTGTATTACTAAGTGAAAGAAGCCAATCTGAAAAGGCTATGTACTGTTTGATTCCAACTATGTGACATTCTGGAAAAGGCAAAACTATGGGGACACTAAAAAGATCAATGGTTGTCAGGGATTGTGAGTGGGGGGAAGGGCTGAAAAGGTGGAGCAGGGATTTTTAGGGTAGTGAAACTACTCTGTATGATACTGTAATGATGGATACATGTCATGCATTTGTCCCAACCCACAGACTATATAGCACCAAGAGTGAACCCTAATGTAAAAGCTGTGGACTTACGGTGACAGTGATGTGTCAATGCAGGTTCACTGATTGTAACAAATGTACCACTCTGGTGGGGATGTGGTAAGGAGGGAATGGGTTCACCCGTGCAAACAGGGGTATCATGGGAACCCTGTACTTTCCACTCAGTTCTGTTCTGAACCGAAAACCGCTCTAAAAAGTTAAGTTTATTTTAAAAAATTACTTCTAAGGCAAAATTTTTTAAAAAGATTTATTTATTTTTAGA